ACTGCTTGATGTATTAGGTCCTGCAGCTCTTAGCATGATAGGGAAAAGGCCGAAGAAAAGTCACTTCCAAAGGACACCGCCTTCATTGAAAGGTAGAACATGCTGCTGGAACCATCTCTTTGTGGGGCTTTCCTGTCAGACAAAGCCTGGACATAATCAATGTTGCAAATTTTCCCCCCCATTAAATATTTTTTTCATTACAAGTAAAATGGTAAAATGTACACAAAGCAGTATCATGTCATAATCACTCTTCTGCATGATTAATATTTGTTCAAAGAACCTAGATCAGCTGTCCCATTGCTGTGAATGGGACAATAAACTGTGGTTCCAGAATCACTGCTTCCTTCTCCATCTTCATGTCGGTACCCAAAGATGTCTGTAGACTCCCTAGAAGAGCTCCTTGAGAACATGTCGAAGAAATTGTGCTGATCCAGAGAGTAAGGACTTCCTGACTTGGAGAGAGTCGATAGAAAGCTTTCTGGAGTGTGGCTTCTGGGTGCGGAGGGGGCAATGCCACAGTCGATGTACTTGAAGCTGACCCCAGACTGATTGGAGCCTGGTCGTGGCAGCACATGACCAGAATGTTTGTAGACGGGCATCATCTGCTGTTGGGAAGCAGCTAATTGCATGACCTGGGAAGGAGACAGGACAATCCTCGTTTCAATGCGGTGTGAGTGAGTCTTGATGGCAACAGACTTCACTTCTTCCTTTACGGCCCTAAAACAAAATAGACAGAGCTATTTGAATTTTAATATAATGCTTGAAGCTCTAGGATCACATTGGTTGAAGCGGTAAATAATATCATACATTTCAGAATGAGGATAAGTACCAATGAGAATAAATACCGTACATTTAACAATGAGGATAAGTCAGCCTATCGAGCAAGTAATAAGTATTAAGCCATTAATAATTAACCATGCAATAACAAAATACCATCTGTCTTGTGCATGGCGTGTAAAGGAAAAATAGTATGTGATTGTGTATCATTGCCCAAACATGTAATGGGAGTGAATTAAGGTTTCACAAGAAACCTTCTAACATGGGTTTTGTGTGTGTGTATGTGTAATTCTCTTAGATTTCTTAAGCAAATTACATGGACACCAATACTGTTCAATCAACAGGGTTGGAAGTTTTAGATCCATTGCCCACTTGAATTAAAATAGCTGGTAACACTAGTAGGTAATCCTCTAGGCAGATCACTACTGCAGATTGTGTGCTACTGCGCTACTCGTGGCTAGTGCGTTTCCCAGATATCTGCTGCTGCTGAAAGTTAGAAATCTCCAGTCTCATTCCCAGCTCTGACGGGGAGGATACATTAAGGAGCATGCTCTCCTATCCATCTCCTCCAGCCTGATCCTGCCCAGTCCTATCTCTTCCCCGGTTCAGGAGGAAGAAGGTAGCAGATCAGAATGTATTTCGGTAAAGATAAAAGGTGAAAGATACAGTACCAATATCATGGTGGGGATTTATTATAGACCATCAGTCAGGAAAAAGAGATGGCCAAGGCACTCTTCAAAGAGGTGACAACATTATCCTATGATGAGTAGGCACTGATGGGTGACTTCAATTTTCTGGACATCTGCTAGATGAATAACACAGCCAAACATAAATTGTCCAACAAGATCCTAACTTGTATGGAGGAAAACTTTCTCTTCCGGAAATGTGAAGATACAACTAGGGGGTCGGCTACCTTGGATCTTGTCCTGACTAATAGGGAAGAACTGGTAGAGGATGCGAAGATGATGGGAAACTTGGGAGGAAGTAATTATGATATGACAGAATTCAAGATCCCGAGACAGATTTCAGAAAGGGAGAATTCAACCTACTCAAGAAGATATAGGCATGGTGCCAAGGGAAGACAAACTGAAGGATAAAGGTGTCCCGGAGGGCTGGAAGGTCTAAAGGGCACAGCATTGGAAGCCCAACAAGAAAGTCTTCTAACACAATGGATGCACAAGAAGAATGATAAGAGACTAATGCGGCTGGACAAGGAGCTGCTAGGATACCTCAACTGCAAAAGGAAAGCATACAGGCAAGGGAAAGATGTGCAAGTCATTAAGGAAGCATACCAAAAATAGCAAGAACTTGCAGGGCCGAAACCAGAAGGGCAAAGGTAAAAAATGAGCAATTTGAGTTCCTACACCCTGGGAAGAAGAATCAAAAATACAAATACAAAATTGGTGACGACTGGCTGAATGGCAGCTCTATGGGGAAGGATCTAGGGAGTCTTGGTAGATCGCAGGCTCAATATGAGTCTGCAGTGTGATGTAGCTGCACACAATGTGAATGGGGTTTTGGGCTGCATTAGGTGCAAAACATGGGGCATGATAGTGCGTCTTTACTGGTTAGGCCCCATCTGTGTACTGTATGCAGTTTTGGGCTTAAAAAGGACACAGAGAAGTTAAAGAGGGTCTGGGGTAGGCAACAAATATGATAAAAGGCTTGGAAAGCCATCCATACAAGGTTGAAGGGACTAGGCATGTTCAACTTGCTGAAAAGGAGCTTAAAAGGGGACATGATAGCAGTCTTCAAATATCTGAAGGACTGTCATAAAGAAGAGAAAAACCATCTTCTTTCTTGCTGCAGAGAGCAGGACATGGACCAATGGTTTTAAAGTTGTAGCAAAGTGGGTTTAGATTGGATAGCAGGAAAAACTTCTTCGCTGTTACAACAGGGGCTCAAGAAGAGGTTGGGCGAGCATTGATCATGGCTGATCTAGGAGTAGCTATGCCTGTGCTATGCTCTAGGTATTGCCCAGGCTTCTGGGTTTGCTGGTTGCCTCACAGATCTGGGAAGGATTTTTTCTCCCACTCCTCTTACTGCTCAGACCCCAGCTCCTTGCCCACCAGTCCTGGTTTACCTCCAGTCCCAGTCTCACCAGAGGTCTGGCCATTATCTCCTCTGCATTCATGTCAGACAGCTTCCCCTCCATGCCACCTGCATGTCAGTGGGGATGAGCAACAAAATAGAGACCGGCTCCCTACTCTTTGCGCCATTGCCAAGCTCGATCCCAGCCATTTCAGGGGAATTTTGGATTAGCTCTGTAGCTCAAGGCTGGAGGGAGGTTGCACAGCTGCTCTTTAGGGATGGGATACATACAGTCAGGTCACCACTGAGAGCTATGAGGTTTGAGCATGTTTAGACTGGATAGACACTTCAGAGCATTTTTAACTGCTGCAGTCCAAGAAGTCTTTACTGGGTATATGCAGACTCAAAAGGCCTACCACTTGTGTGGATCTTCACATGGGCAACCCAAGGCACATCCCTAAAGCAAAAAGCACTCTCCCCACCAAACTCCAAGGCACTGGAGTTGTCCAAAGAAAGTTTGCTAGAATGATTTAATATGGGCAGAACATTTTTCCCCTTTCATCTTGTTTTAGGAAAACTGAAGCGTCCAAAAATTATTCAGTCCGAGGGAGATGCCCAAGTGCGATATTTTTTAGCTCGCGTGGTTTGACAGCTAAATAGGTGGCAGAGAGCAGAGTCTCGTGGTTTAAGCAATAAGCTATTCTAATAATGGGCATAGCTATTGACCCCTACATATCCACAGCGTGTGAGGGGCTCGTGGACTTTTTAGAGCAGTGTAAGCCATGACGCGTGTTAAAAGCACAGGGACAAGGTGTGGGCACCAGTGTGTGCAGGACGTATTGTGCTAAAATGTGCCAGACTATTTAATGCCATCAGGTGCTGCAAACAGATGAGGAGCACTGCCAGTCTGGACCGCACCTCCGACACAGCACAAGCAGTGCACATGCATTGCAGGTCAGGTCTGCACCAGTGCTGGCTCCTGCCATGCTGCTTGGGGCTGCTTTTGCACGCCAGCTCCCCACACAAGGGTGTTAAATTGTTGTAAAAAAAAAAAAACCAAACCAAACTCACGTGTCGTCCTTTGTCACCAGTTTGTAGTGAATGAAACTGCAGCCCAGAATAAGCAGGAGTGACATCACCAAGAAAACGCTCATGGCAGCAATGATCAGGTTTTGCCTCAGCTTCTGACTCTCCTGGAATTCATTCCCTACAAATATTCAATACAGTGGGTAGAGAATCACCCCAACCCCTCCCAAAAGCACAGCTGTAGCCACTGTTGATTATGTCAAAGGTAGTCGGTAGGTCAAGAAAGATGAGGGTAGGGGACTGGTTCAGAGCTTTGGCTAAAGAAGAGGTCACCGTGACATTACCGGGAGCAGTTTTAGTGGAGGGCGCTGGTAGGAAGCCAGCCCAGAAAGCATCTAGGATCGAGTCAGTGAAATGTGTTACCCCTGTGCTACTGAGACTTTAGGTACTGAGGACTCACAAATGGCTCCATAGTGAGGCAAAGGATCAATCTGGGGGCATGCTAGCCATGAGAAATGCAATCTGGGGGCATGCTAGCCATGAGAAATGCAAATCCTCCACCCCCATTCCTCTCCTAGGTGGATGCATTTTTTTTTCAGTGGAGAAGGGCATTTCACTTCACTTCCTGAGATGCCCTCTTCTGATGCCACAGGTGAAAGGGAGGCATTTCTGTTTTCTCTGTTCCCTTCAAAATTCCCCCTTTTGGTCTCTAAAGTCAGAAATTCAAAGGATCCCCTCTTGCACTTCTTTCCCCACCCTCCCACTGTATGGGCTTGCTGTTGTTCCTAACCACTGCTGCATTTTCCCAACACACCCCGAGCTGTCCAGTAGCATGGGGAGCACGGTGGCATGCTCTAAGCTGCTCCATCTTGGTTTCGAAGTGAGCGAACCAAGCATGAATTAGACTTATGAGCCCTATAAAAGGCTACCTGCAAAGCCCCGAAGAGCCTGACACAAAGCCTAACAAAGAGAAGTTGTAAATATGGGGTGAATGTCAGACTTAATGGTCTGTTTCACATCAAAAAATTCAATCAGAGCGGTTGACACTTCTGCACTGGGACTTGCAAAGGATAAAATAAGAAGCCACGTTTGCCTAGTCAGGCTCTATCCCCAGGTTGACCTGCCACTGCTTTCATGGACTGCTCCTTCTGTTTTCAAACCTGTTTCCATTCCCTTTCATGGATATTAACCACTGAACCAGGGAGTTTGTCTCCACACCTGGAATGCCCCTTTTTTCCTTGAAGTGAGATTTGAGAAGGGACGGGCTTGGATTTGGAAATGCTGCAGTGGAGACTAATGAGAACTGTAAATGCCTCACGCGCAACCAACCAGCATATTCCAATGCAAAGAAGTTTCATCCGAAACATCCCAAGTGCCTCCATAAATTATAAGGCCAAGGCAAAGGGAACTATTTCAGATCCAGGCCTCTCTTGATGCAACATTGGAAGAACCAGGTTTGAACATCAGCGCACGATGCCGAAGTGGATGGGGGATCTGAGCTCCTGAGACCCTCAGGCTACATCCAGGCATCCGAAGAAAGGAAAGGACAAACTTTTACCAAGGCACAAATGCCACATGTGGCCCAAACTCACAATTAGAGGAGGGAAGGGGTACTGTTGTAGTCACTAGTGCCTGCTACATGTGCATTAACCCGCTTTAGTTAATACGCATTCAATCTTGTGAGGTCCTAGGAAAATGCGCATTAGCCTGTCTTAAGGTGCATTAACTAAAAAGCACAGTTTTTAAGTGATGCTTAACGCGCATTGGCCTATTTGAATGCACATTATCTAAATAGCACAGGGGTTTTTTTTTAGTGACGCTTTAATGCTCGCTGCTGAAATAGGCTAATGCGCATTAAAGCGCACGTGTAGATGCAATCACTAGTTCTACCCGTTGCCGAGTCGAATCCTTTAATGACCAGCTTTGAGAGTGACCCATTTACTTGCCTTCTAAAAGATCCTTTCCATCTCTGTCATCGCTGGCAGTGCCACCAAATGCTGGCTGGTTGCAAACAAGGCATTATTAACATCAGCTACAAACACAATGCTGCTTTTTCTGGGTTTCAGCACGTGGTTATACATTTTGCTGAGCAACATACCTCCTGTTTGACAGCAACCCGTCATGAGGATGGAGAGCAGAAAGAAAAGGATGGAATAAATATCCATATTTGCCTATCCATGCGCTGTACCCATGCTGACCGTGTGCCTGCCACTGCCTTCATGTCACGGGGTTGGACTCTTGTGACATCCGCAGCGTTCTGGCAGACATTGTGACAACACAACCTGCTCCTGGAGCCTCAAACCCTGGCTCGGTGTGGAAATGTATGTTTTTAGGTAGTAACAATTCAGTTACTCATGCATAAAAATATTTTAAACTTGCAGGCTTGGCTTTCGCATAATCAAGGTATGGACACTGGTGTTTATAGCTGGAACAATGCATTTATGCATTTTAAAATTTGCTTTTTTCCTCCTTTTGGAGAATTAGTTTTCTTGTTCCTGAGGGTTAGTTAGCAGTTATTTAGCATGGCATTAAGTCGTATGGGAAAGAAGCTATAGAACAGGTTATTTCTATTTCATATTCCCGCAGCACAGAAAGGCCCCTTCATGAGTCCAGACTGCCTTTGTGCTAGTCACTGTACAAAAAAGTAAGAAAAGTCCCTGCAATTTACCCATTCCAGTCTAGACAGATAAGACAAAGGGTAGCAGAAAGGAGCTATCTGTTGCATTATTACAACTTTTTATTAGCATATGAGCCAAATCCTGCACCCGTTTCTCATTTTTCACTGTGGAAAAAACAACCACTACAACCAACAGATGGGTACAGACATATGAAGAACCAAACCAAGGGGGTAAAAGGGCACGAAGTTTCCTGTGCATGACGTATGCACACATCTTTACTCTGCGGTAAGTAGATGCTAACCTGTGATAAGTTTCTGTCACTAAGCTACTGCATTTTAGCTTCCGTTTCTGGGAGGGCACGGGTAGGTAGGGTAATCTTCATTATGCACCTTTCCGCCAATCTTGGTACCATCTGCAAACGTTATCAATTATTTAGAAGAAAGTCCGTTAAATATTTTAAATGTTTGAAGCCAAAAAAAACTGACCTTTGTGAAACCCTCACCCATGAGATAAAAAAAAACACACCTGTCTAGTTTGTGATGATTTTCAGCGGAAAATGACTTTTTGAGGTCCATTCCTTCTTTTTAACCCCCTTAATAAGTCCTATACTGATTTTGCATCAGTTTAATTTCTTTATCAAAATACAGTGTGTTACCAAATCAAGGACCCTATACAAGCCTAAATATGTTACAATCAGTATATTACACTTATATTGCAATATAAGTATATATTAAGTATATTGCAATTATATTGCAATATGCATATTATAAGTATATTACAATTTAGACAAAGCTGGCATGGTCTGCTTCACTTTCAGGTTGGGTTTAATTGGGTCGTTTCGCTTTCCTGGCCTCAGGCACTGCCAGGGAAGCATTCGAAATCCCAACACATCCATTTCCTCTCTCCGCCCCTCTCCACCTCTCAACCATATTCATGTACTTTAAAATAAAAGATCTCTCTGCACCCCCTTTCTTTCTAAATATTATGGATCAATTCTGCTGCACTAGGATTCCTTGGGACAGCATTGTGAGCCTAAAATAACGGCCACATGTACTGTCAGAGAGTGGAAAAGTTTGCTGCCATCCAACACAAACTCCCTTATTTGTTCCTTCTAATTAAATGGCCACAAAGAGGTGCAATTGGAAACAGTGACAGCAGATGTGACATGGGACGCCAGGGGGAGCTACTTTTCCATTTGGAAAGTTGCTGAGGTTTGTAGAAAGTTCACTCAAGATACGATTTCTCACCGATACAAGTTGTGGTTAAAGCCTGGGTCCTCAAAGTACTCAGGCAGCTACCATGTACTGAAATCAAAAAGAATTAGGGGCACAGATCTCAGACAATGTGAATTAAGTTATACTACCCGATGGTATGTGACAAGGACAATTAAGAGTTGTAGGTGAAGAGGATACCACTTATAATGACCTCCCTTGATATCTAGTACCCATTCTGATCTCGTATTGGTTTTACACCAGGATAACTTCTCTTTCAGGAGGAAACCCTGTTCTATAGCTATGGCTGTATCACTTTGTAAACTTTATAACAATTCTTGTCCTTGTGGCAAATTGTAAACCAGTTACACATTACACACGCATTAGCTGACCCCAGGCACTTAATATTATGGGAAATATCACCGAGGAGTTTAGCAACTGCAAATGTAAAGGTGGATTGAAGTGAATGATAAGGACATCCGAGTTTTAGACATTCAGGAAACATTACTACGCGGCGTGTACACAGCAGGTGGCGCCCCACCACTAAAAATACGTTAAAAGAAGTTGCCCATAGCCACACAGCCAAAGTATAAAATCAGACAGGTCAAAGGTACATTTTCTTTCCAGACAAAGTTCTTTGGGTAAATCTGGTATCTTTTATTAAACCAACTCAAGCAGTTGGAAAAATTCCTCTTTGCAAGCTTTTGGGTACAAATACCCTCTTTCCAGTCTCACAGCTATCACAGTAAGCCACATGCTATCAAAAATATGTGTATAAAGCCATGATGTTACATTCTGATTTCAACCATCCATCTAAATAAATGCAAGACCTAAGGTTCTAGTTAGCAACATACCAAAAATATTGTCCAGAGATGGGAATTCTGGATCCTATTGAATATTGAAGGAGGAAGAATTATGTTAACTTTCCAATATGTATTTGATAGGGTTCTGGCAATAGCGAGCATAGATCATCTTTTCTCACTTCAGCTGAAACTAGGTTGCCAGATATCTGTTGACAGACAGTCCATTAAAAAAAAAAAGAGACTAAAAATAGCTGTCAGTAAAGTCTGTAAAAAAATGGAGTCATCTGTAAAAAATTAAGCAACTCTGAGCCTAACTGAAGCTCCATCCTTGGCAAGAAGCTGGATGAAAAGTGTTGATGCAGAGACACAGCATACCACCTAGTATCTAACACCTTGCAGGGAACTCTGTCAGGGCTTTCTGGCCCGCTGGAGCCGCTGTAGGCAAACCTGCATGGCACTGGGCAGGACGGGGAGAGGGTGGTGTGACTGGGAACAAACTGCAGTGGTGGAAGTGGACAGAGGCAGCAAGGGGGGTTGTGCCAGGGGTGA